GAACCGCTGCACCCCCGAAGGTAGAGACACCCCCCCCCATTGCCAACCACACCGGGTGGGTTTTGGGGGAACAGGGGGGAGACGTTCAGCCGAGCTTCTGTGCTGAGGAGCCCCTGGTCTATCAGAGAGGCCACGGCTGGAATGGCACCTGTGGAGCTGACTCCTGTGCTCTCCCCCAGAGATAAGCACAGAGGTGCAGAGAGGGTAGAGCTCTGCTGGCTCTGACTCTGGCTAGAGAGGGAATCACCAGTGTGATTAACTCCTTGCTGCAAGGCACCGCCACGGAGAAGAGACGGCAGCGGGTGGAGTTGGTGGCTAGATCAGTGCTAGTGGGGCTGTTTCGATTGACGCTCTGTGGTCCACAGTAAATGTAAGTCTCTTGCGGTTCTTCTCTCAGGATGATATCTGCATGCATTTGACCAATTATGCTATCAACAAGCGTAATGAAAACTTCATCCAGGATGACACGATGGGCAGTAAGAGGTATTGTCTTGTCCAGGTACCGCAATGCGCTGTGCACATCCCGCAGGAAAGCTGCGTTTGGGACACTGTTTTACTTCCACCGTTCTCGGGGCAAACATGGTATGACAGGTCAGCTCTTACCATCTCCCGTCCTCCACGCAGGAAACTGTCCACCCTGAATGCCTGGATGACGGAAAACAGCTACAACACAACAAAACTCTGGGAAGATATTGACGACGTTATTATAAAGACTCTTATTTCAGCTCACCCTGTTGTGAAGCACAATTACCAAAGCTGCTTTCCGAACCACACTGCCAGCTGTGCCTGCTTTGAGATTCTGGGTTTTGATATTTTGCTGGACAGAAAGTTGAAGCCGTGGCTGCTAGAGGTGAGGAAGGAGTCTCCTGCTGTGCTGGAGCAACTCTGGGAGCAGCAGATAGCCGAGCGCTGGCTTGTCTGGGGAAGGCTCCGGAACAAGGGATGGTGGGATGAGCAGAACTGGTTAAAAAGGGCCACCTCGTTCACAAAATTAAACAGGCTGTGAAGACAAGTAGCCAAGCGACCTGCTGCAGGCTAAGCGGGGTCTAAGAGCCTGTTCCCTGCACGCCCTCTCTAAGAGCGCGGAGTTTCCTGAACCGTAGGACTCGACCTGTAACAGCATCCTGACTTTACGATAGCTGCCCCATGCCCGTAGTCCTGCTGGGTGGGGATCTGAGTGAGCTGCAGTGCGGGTGGGCATCGCGCTGCAGGAGGACAGAACTGGGTGCAGCCTCCTGCTTTCTGCCGCTGTTCCAGGGAAGAACATCCGTGGGAAGTGTGCGGCGGGGCAGACTGGGGCCAGCGAGCTGGCTGCTGGCAGCGCTTGCTGGGAGCTGCCAGGTTAGATTAGCTGCTTGTTTTGGCAGGTGAACCACTCTCCCAGCTTCACCACGGAGTCTCGCCTAGACCACGAGGTGAAGGATGCCCTTCTCTGTGATACCATCAACCTGATCAATGTGCATGCCTGTAACAAAAGGAAGGTGCTCAGGGAAGACAAGCAGCGGGCAAAGGAACGGCTCCTCCAGGCCCATCAGACTCTCCGTGCATCCAGGTATTGCTCTTCCCCATAGTGCTGCAGGTCTCCAGCGAGAAAAGACAGGGAATAGCGGAGCAGGATAAAACTAAGGCTGGCTGTCTCCAAATCGGAGCTCCCAGAGGCCACGGCACTACGTAGCCTCTGAGAAGAGATCGCCCAGGCCATCTGCATCCTGCAAGGAGGAGCCAGGGCTGGTCTCTGGGCGCCAGGAGGTCCGAGATGCCTGATGCTCTGTACCGGGCGCTGCATGGAGTCATCCCCGTCAAGCTGCGCCTGCTTGTCACGTTCCTTCGGTGCCGGCGGGCTGTGCCGCGTGCAGAACAGACCCCAGCGCTGCGGCAGGGGCCGGGAGCACCCGGGGGCATGGGGCCCTTCTCCAGAGCAGGGTTCCTATCCCAGGGTTGAGGGTTCCCCCCTTGCTCTGTCTGCACGAGGCCGTGTTAGATGAGCCTGCTGCCCGGGCTTTTCCTGCCATGCAGGGCGAGGCAGGAGCTCCCTCCAGCTCCCGTTTCCATGAGGAGGCCTGAGATAACCCCGGGCTGGAGACGCTGCGCATTAGCCCTGTGGCCTCGGCTGCTCCGAGCTCCCCGCCAGCGAGGAAAGCTCCCAGCAGCAGGCACATTTTAACTGAACTCCTCGTGTAACTGGGTCAGTTGGGCGAGAAGGCTGAGGGGCAGGGTGTGAGCCCGGGTGGCAGGGGAGAGATCTGGAAATCCTTCGCCAGCACTCTACAGGTCGAGGATGAGGAAGCATGAGATGTGCTGGTCCCCTGCAGTGCACCCACGTGAAACAGGCTCCCAGATGGGGAAGGAGCGGGGAAAGTGCTAGCCAGGCCCTGTCCTCAGCCAGGACAGCACCCAGAGCCTCCCGTCGCAGCTCCTGCCTGTGCTTTCTCCCGGTCTGCAGGCGCGAGGAGTCGGAGAACAACCAGGCTGCCTGGCTGTCTCAGGCAGAGCAGTACGAGAACTCCACAGAGGTCCCTTCCAACCCCTACTATTCTGTGATTCTGTGATTCTGTGATTCTGAGATGCCTGATGCTCTGTACCGGGCGCTGCATGGAGTCATCCCCGTCAAGCTGCGCCTGCTTGTCACGTTCCTTCGGTGCCGGCGGGCTGTGCCGCGTGCAGAACAGACCCCAGCGCTGCGGCAGGGACCGGGAGCACCCGGGGGCATGGGGCCCTTCTCCAGAGCAGGGTTCCTATCCCAGGGTTGAGGGTTCCCCCCTTGCTCTGTCTGCACGAGGCCGTGTTAGATGAGCCTGCTGCCCGGGCTTTTCCTGCCATGCAGGGCGAGGCAGGAGCTCCCTCCAGCTCCCGTTTCCATGAGGAGGCCTGAGATAACCCCGGGCTGGAGACGCTGCGCATTAGCCCTGTGGCCTCGGCTGCTCCGAGCTCCCCGCCAGCGAGGAAAGCTCCCAGCAGCAGGCACATTTTAACTGAACTCCTCGTGTAACTGGGTCAGTTGGGCGAGAAGGCTGAGGGGCAGGGTGTGAGCCCGGGTGGCAGGGGAGAGATCTGGAAATCCTTCGCCAGCACTCTACAGGTCGAGGATGAGGAAGCATGAGATGTGCTGGTCCCCTGCAGTGCACCCACGTGAAACAGGCTCCCAGATGGGGAAGGAGCGGGGAAAGTCCTAGCCAGGCCCTGTCCTCAGCCAGGACAGCACCCAGAGCCTCCCGTCGCAGCTCCTGCCTGTGCTTTCTCCCGGTCTGCAGGCGCGAGGAGTCGGAGAACAACCAGGCTGCCTGGCTGTCTCAGGCAGAGCAGTACGAGAACTCGCACCTGGGCGGGTACCGGCGCATTTATCCGGCGTGCGGAACAGAGAAGTACGAGCCGTTCTTCAAGCAGAGTGCCTCGCTCTTCCAGGAAACGGCGGCGTCCAAAGCCCGAGAGGCGTGTGCCAGGTACGCTGCTCCTGCAGAGAACCCGCTCCTCGCAGGGGAGCATGGAGACCGCTGGCTGCTGGTCCCCCCGGGAGCAGCTCTGCTGCGTAACAGATGTGAGCTGGTGAGAGCTGGAAGGGAAGGAGTCACCGCAGCAAAGCAACGTCCCCTGGCATTGCCCGTGAGGGGCAAACGCAGCATTCCACTGACTTTTGGACTCTGGAGGCACCGTGTCGCAAGCGTCCTCCACCCTTGTGGCAGGCACAGCCTCATTCGAGGGCATTTCTTACGGTGGTGAGAGGCGCTTGTAAAAGCCCTCCTGGCCCAGTTCTTGGCACACTTCTCTTATGGTCTATTCACTACAGAACTTCTGGCTGCAGTAAAATGTCCTTGGGTTGAAGGCTTCATAATAGCCTTTTGCTATTACGGCTCTTACTGAACTAGTGACTACTGAACTACTGTTCTACGGCAGGCAGCAACTGGAGGAAATTCGCCTGAAAAAAGAAAAGTTGGAAGCTGTTACCAGGAAGAAGAAAACGCAGAGGAAAGAGGAGCTGCATGGAGAGTCAGCTGGCCACAAACCCCAGATCCATTGTAAAACCACAGCTCCTACAGCCCGCCTCGCCTATAGAAGCACCCGGATGTGGGACAGAAAGGTACCCTGCCCTTGCCAGTGGCTGTCCCTGGGGCTCTGCGAACACTGCTGAGCCGTGGGAACAGAACTGCGAGGTTTGACTCCCCTTCCTGAAGTCCAGGGAGTTGATATCTTGTGCTGGGAGGCACCTGCAAGCCCTGTTGTGGCTTCCACTGGGATCTGCGTCCCACTCCATCCCAGAGCCTGCGGTTCTCCTTAGGGCACGGAGCAGTCTGTGGCTTTCTATCTCTTGCACATTACTACAGCTGCAACTTTGCTGTAACACCGGTCTTTTGTTCCTAAGCTACAGCGCCTGCAGTACGACTCTATGCAACCCCAGGATATTGTGGAAGACGAGGAGAAGAAAAGAGTGAATGCTCTGCTGCAGCGCGAGAACCTTATCCGAGGCCTGGGCATCATAGATCAGCTCTCCCAGCTGCTCCCCACAACTGGCAGGCCAGCTGACGCCCCAGGACCCTGCGCCGTTATCCCCGAGAGCCAGGTAACTGTGGGCTGCCCAGATCCAAGGCCAACGCAGGGCACAGCCATTCGCAGGAGATCGCGAGGAACCAGGCACGGCGCTGAGCACCTCTGGAGTGGCTCAGTTAAACGAGATCCGACGTAGTGTCTGGGTCCGTGGGTTTTCACTGTGTCCCCTCACAGTGGGCGCGCGGTCACACAGCCATTCGCAGGAGATCGCGAGGAACCAGGCACGGCGCTGAGCACCTCTGGAGTGGCTCAGTTAAACGAGATCCAACGTAGTGTCTGGGTCCGTGGGTTTTCACTGTGTCCCCTCACAGTGGGCGCGCGGTCAGCCGCGTAGGGCCCCTGAGCACCCTTCCCCAGCAGACCCCTCGCCCTGGTATCCCAGAGAGCAGACCAGCAGGGCACTGCTGTTTGGACACTGCTGTCCCCAGCGCGCGGCTCGGTGTGAGCTGCTGCCTCGGGCGGGAGGGCGGTTCTCCTAGCCCAGCAGCACCAGTTCCAGGGAGGGCGGTTCTCCTAGCCCAGCAGCACCAGTTCCAGGGAGGGCTGTTCTCCTAGCCCAGCAGCACCAGTTCCAGGGAGGGCGGTTCTCCTAGCCCAGCAGCACCAGTTCCAGGGAGGGCGGTTCTCCTAGCCCAGCAGCACCAGTTCCAGGGAGGGCGGTTCTCCTAGCCCAGCAGCACCAGTTCCAGGGAGGGCGGTTCTCCTAGCCCAGCAGCACCAGTTCCAGGGAGGGCGGTTCTCCTAGCCCAGCAGCACCAGTTCCAGGGAGGGCGGTTCTCCTAGCCCAGCAGCACCAGTTCCAGGGAGGGCGGTTCTCCTAGCCCAGCAGCACCAGTTCCAGGGAGGGCGGTTCTCCTAGCCCAGCAGCACCAGTTCCAGGGAGGGCGGTTCTCCTAGCCCAGCAGCACCAGTTCCAGGGAGGGCGGTTCTCCTAGCCCAGCAGCACCAGTTCCAGGGAGGGCGGTTCTCCTAGCCCAGCAGCACCAGTTCCAGGGAGGGCGGTTCTCCTAGCCCAGCAGCACCAGTTCCAGGGAGGGCGGTTCTCCTAGCCCAGCAGCACCAGTTCCAGGGAGGGCGGTTCTCCTAGCCCAGCAGCACCAGTTCCAGGGAGGGCGGTTCTCCTAGCCCAGCAGCACCAGTTCCAGGGAGGGCGGTTCTCCTAGCCCAGCAGCACCAGTTCCAGGGAGGGCGGTTCTCCTAGCCCAGCAGCACCAGTTCCAGGGAGGGCGGTTCTCCTAGCCCAGCAGCACCAGTTCCAGGGAGGGCGGTTCTCCTAGCCCAGCAGCACCAGTTCCAGGGAGGGCGGTTCTCCTAGCCCAGCAGCACCAGTTCCAGGGAGGGCGGTTCTCCTAGCCCAGCAGCACCAGTTCCAGGGAGGGCGGTTCTCCTAGCCCAGCAGCACCAGTTCCAGGGAGGGCGGTTCTCCTAGCCCAGCAGCACCAGTTCCAGGGAGGGCGGTTCTCCTAGCCCAGCAGCACCAGTTCCAGGGAGGGCGGTTCTCCTAGCCCAGCAGCACCAGTTCCAGGGAGGGCGGTTCTCCTAGCCCAGCAGCACCAGTTCCAGGGAGGGCGGTTCTCCTAGCCCAGCAGCACCAGTTCCAGGGAGGGCGGTTCTCCTAGCCCAGCAGCACCAGTTCCAGGGAGGGCGGTTCTCCTAGCCCAGCAGCACCAGTTCCAGGGAGGGCGGTTCTCCTAGCCCAGCAGCACCAGTTCCAGGGAGGGCGGTTCTCCTAGCCCAGCAGCACCAGTTCCAGGGAGGGCGGTTCTCCTAGCCCAGCAGCACCAGTTCCAGGGAGGGCGGTTCTCCTAGCCCAGCAGCACCAGTTCCAGGGAGGGCGGTTCTCCTAGCCCAGCAGCACCAGTTCCAGGGAGGGCGGTTCTCCTAGCCCAGCAGCACCAGTTCCAGGGAGGGCGGTTCTCCTAGCCCAGCAGCACCAGTTCCAGGGAGGGCGGTTCTCCTAGCCCAGCAGGCCGTTCCCAAGCCAGGCTCCCGGTCTGCAGCCGAGCGAGGAGGAAGCCCGCAGGCTGTCGTCCGTGGGCTCCGTTAGGCTACGAGGGCTCTTCTGGAGCACTGAGGGTGGCTGTCACCGGCTGTGTCGGGGAAGGGCTAGTTCTGGACCCACAATTAACGAGAAACCTTGCGAGGTCCATTGCCTCTTCCAGTGGCAGCGTCTGTTTCCAGAAAGGCCTCTGCTCCTGGCTGGAAGGGTGACGCACCTCAGAAGGGTGCTGACCAACTCAGGGCACCAGAGCTGCAGGAATTATTCAGGACCTAGGAGTCTGCTAGCACCTTACAAGAAACTGGAAATAGTCAATTTAATTTAACAAAAGAAGTCTAAGATAGGATTTGATCTGTAAGAACTGATGGTTGCTGCCTTTTCCTCGACCAGACAAAGCAGAACCTGAAACCCAAACTCTGCCTAAGATCTGGATAACTTTTTCAGCAGCAAAGGGTTGCCCAGGGTGGGTCAGATCCTTCATGGTGCAGTCTTCCCAGCCTGCTCTGGCATTTCTTCCCACAAGCCCTGCTCCAGCTCAGCCCAGTGTCACGGGCAGAGGACGGAGCCTCAGCACTGCTGCGGGCGCATCGGGCAGGCAGCTGCCGTGACCCCTCGGGTGATCTGAATCCGGGACGGTGACTGTTGTGTCTGGGGAGAAAGCGCAGGGCGACGCTGTAATGAGTGCCCATAGATGACGGAGAAGACTCTTCTTCCCGACTCTTGCCAAGGCCTCCGGAGCTAAGCGGCGGCTGCTTTCTTTCCTTCCAGCCGCAGTCCCTCTGGGAGGTGCTCAGGACGCAGGACGCCCACGGCTTAACGACGCTCACCCCCGTCTCGCTCCCGGGAGCTGCGGTCCGGCCTTCGGGACAGCGGTTCCTGCACAACCCCAGAGCAGGTCCC